TTTTATAAAATATATAAAAATAAATAATTTTATAAAATGACCGAAAATGACATGGAGGGTGCCGGCAATGGACAAGTAAAGATAAAAATATAAAATAAAAATAAAAGTATAAGAAAAGTAAAGATAAAATAGAAAATAAAAAATAAAAATAAAGTGCAAACTAAAGAAAACAAAATTTTTCCAAACTTCGAAAACCAGTGCACACTGATATTGGGATTTTTTTTTTTTTTTTAACAGTGTCTGTACGAAAAAAAAAAAAAAATTTAAAGAAAAAAAACATTTAGTATAAAAGAGTAAATTGGAATCTCAAAAAATTCAAATCCTTATTATACAATTTCCCAAAGTTTAAAAAACTAAATGTTTAGAAGGTAATGTGCACATAACACTCCTATACTATGAGATTAATAGTATATATACCCCCTTGAGCATTTTCAGAAGAGTAAAAGGGCAAAATATGTATTACATAATTAATTTATATTAGATGATGTATTTTTGCACAATATGAAAAGATTATGAGTGTTTTTTGCACACATTTTCAAATAGGGATAAAAGTGTTATGCGAAGTATACTTTGGGGGTGTTTTCTACTCTTGTCCCATATATATATATATATATATATATATATATATATATATATATCTTTTTTATACTTTTCGTTTACTACATAAATACATAAGGAAATAATGAAGATAAATATGGTAAAAAAAATATATTTATTTGGTTTAATCTAATTATGACTTGGTTTTTTTTTAATTATTATTTAAAGTATTTAACTGAAAATTTTTAATACAAAGATAAGTTTCATTCATTAATTTTTATTTGGTGTCAGTAAGACTTATTAAGTAAATAAGCCCTACCTTCTTTGACTTATTGTAAACTTCTTAATAATATTCAAGGAGAGAATGGAAGATACACTAGAATATATACATCAATAATATAAATTTGTTTTGTATAATTGTGTTATTTAAATATGGGAATAATTTTTTTTCATCAATTTGTATGAAAATATATTGCTTAATATGAAAACTCTTTAAACTCCGTTGTAAATATATTAAATAAAGAAAATTATCAATCAAATATTAAATGAATATTTATTTCGCTCTATTGTTGTGTGAACTGTTGGCCTAATTTACTGTAGTTGTTTTATTGTCATAGTAAGTGGAACCCACATACGACTCGTTTTTTTACTTATCAAATTGGGTAGGTGAAGAAAATCATCGTAAAGCTTCATCATTTATCTTCAACAATACAACCGTAAGACGTACAATTTGGTGCATGGGCCTGGATCATTTATGGCTGCAATTAGTGGCTGCCCTTTCTTGACCATCCCCCCGGCTATTTTATACTCTCTCTTGATAAATTATTAGATGGTCATACTTGATTAACTAATTCAATGAAAATTTTTTGATTATTAAATTTTATAATTTATTAATACATTTTTGTGAGGTCATTTATCTGTATTTAATTGATCCACTAAATATTAATGGATCAGAAATACCTAAGTCACAAAATTCGCTCAAATCACTGGCGCTCCGAGCGCGAATTGGCGTTTTGAGAGCAAATTCGCCAAAAATTCACGCTCTCATGTTTTTGAATTCGCGAATTCAATTTAAGAATTCGCCGGTTTTTAAAGTTCAATTCGATGAATTGTGTAAGATAAAATCGCGTATTTTGTTTAAGAATTTGGCTACTTTTGACAATAAATTTACGAATTTAGTGTGAATCTTGAGAAATTTTGATTTTACCCCTAAATAGACCAAATAAGGTTAATTATGTCAAAAAGTAATTAATTTAATTTAATTAAGTAAACTCTATAAAAATCAAATAATATAAGTTATATAACAATATACTTAATATTTAGTAATACTTACGTAACTTACCTTCATTAGATAATATTTACGTAACTTACTTTCATTAATTTTGGGTTTGGAAGTTTGGATATTTCATGTCTATTTTAAAGTTTAGCAGTGGATTCTTTTGCTTTTGAATATTGCTCTTTCAAAGATAATGATTGTCATCTTGAGCTTAAAGCAGATTAAATGTATAAATGACAATACTTTTGAACATTTCTTTTTATGTTATGCCCTATTCACTGTTATGTTTTTATTTTTATAAAGCAGCTTGTTTGATTGTCATATTTGTTAATTTATGCATTTTTATAAAGTAGGTTATATTGGTTGTACATATTTGATTCACTATTCTGTCTTTTTATTTGCAAGAAATTTATTTAAAACATATATTTATTATTATAAATTAATATTTTATATATTTATAATGCGGCGCTCTAACGGCGCTCCCGTTTTAAGATTTTTTTTGGGATATGCCACTCTTGCGCTCCCGCTCCCGCTTCCGCTCTATGTGACTTAGATCAGAATCATTTAATAATTTCTCCTTAAGATTAACCTAGACTGAATGAGATTGACTACTACTTTAATTTTATTTTAACTCTGTCGGTAGAAACTTTCTATGCATTGTCATAGTCAAGACTAAATTTAATATGTATTGTCTTCCTCAAGACTAATTTTGAGGATGACAATGCATACAAAGTTTCTACATATTAAATTTAGTCTTGAGGGTGACAATACATACAAAGTTTCTACAAAAAAGTTGAAATAAAACTCAAGTAGTAACCAATCTCTTTCTGTCTAGGCTAATCCTAGCGAGAAATTATTAGATGGTATTTATTGTACTATCACTTTAAGTGAAAACTTTCTAAGAGACATAGAGAAGTATGGGAGATTAAGGTTGCATTTGTTTCGACGTAAAATATTCTTTTTGAAATTTTTTTCTTTTTTTTAAGTAAAATATTATTTTATTTTTACTTTGTCGATATTTGGTAAAAGTTTACGTCGAGATTGAGGTCGAGTCCATCGAATGAGGCATGTAAAATAATTTCCCGAAAATTGATGGATAAATTATTTTTGTTAAATTTTAATACTTTTTTTCTTTATAAATATTTTACGACAACCAAACACCAGAAAATATAAAAATATATATATATTTTCTAAAAAATATTTTAGGTCCAAACAAACTGAGCGTAAGTAAATAAATTATTATATCTTATCCTATGCTTGATAAAGAGTTCTGAATTTTGTCATGTGAGTGGTGAGTAATTTATAGTCCACCTTAATATTAGTTATAAAAATTATCATTATCTTATTTCAGTTGCACTCCAAAAATATAAAAAATTAAATAATTGTTCTATCCTACTAAATATTCTATAAAATATTTATAAGTGATCTCAACATATTAAATATTGTCTAAGCAAGTATACAGTTACATCTTAAATTTTCTTAGTGTTGAATTTAAGAACTATGATCACTAAATACTTTTATGAAAGAATTTAAAATAAATAATAATTTTATTAGATAAAACAAATCACACAGATCATTTGTTCAATTTTTACTCTCAATTTATTTGTTCAATGTTCTGCCTATATATCAATAATATAAAACTGGAAAGAAAAGAAAAAAGTAATCCAAAATATATATCTATACTATTATTAAATGTGTAAAGAGTTTCAGTATTTTAGTATTTATTTATTATTATAAAAAAATATATATTTATTAACTCAAAAAAATATTACCTAATAAAATTCAAATTTTTAGTATTTATTTATTAATATAAAAAATATTTATTAATTGAAAAAAATATTACCTAATAAAATTCAAATTACAAATTATCTAATAAAATTCAAATTACCTAAAAAATTATTTCAAATTACTTAATAAAACTCAAATTACAAATTACGAATTACAAATCATTCTTTTGTCCGTGATTCAACAAGTTGAAGAATCACCAAACAACACTGTTCGAGATCATTCTTGATCAGAAATCATCAACAGTCTTCCTCAATTACAAACTTGAAGAAGATTGCCAACAGCCCGATTCAAGATCAAGCTCCAACAGCCCTTGGATCCAAGCAATAAAGGAGATCGAATCACAGAATACTTTCTTTTATTTGTAAAGAATATCTCAGAGAGTTATATCTTAACATTTTTAACTCATTCAGCTACACTTTTAGTTATGTTGGGAAAACCAAAGCTAGTTCTGCTGGAGTTTTAGTCAATTTTGTCATTCTCTGTGCTAATTTTGGACATTGTTATCACTGGGGGTACTGGATGCAACTTTTTGAGGCATTTATGCTTGAGGAGGAGTATAATTGTTATCACTTGAATTATTTCTGCTGTATGTTTCATTTTTTTGTTTGAAGAGATTCTGATTGCAGCAATATTAGTAGTAGTAATCTTGGGTGAGAAATGGGTTGAAGCATCTTTGCTGAGAGATATGATTGCAGAGCCCATTTGGGGCAGTCTGGTAATTAGCCCAGTCGATTTTCTCTCTCTCTTCGAATTGTGTACGGATGCGTGGAGATGAATGATTTTACTACGGGCTTCTGAGACCACCAGCTTTAGGGTCCAATTGACAGACATTTGAATCAAGTTTTGTTTCAGTTTTTGGCTTTCCTTTTCAGTATTGAGCTGTATAATGAATCTCATCTTCACATTATGATACGTAGGCAGCCTGGATCATTTTACCAGGTTCGGGTCACACAACCCTTCCAATCCACCCGTTTTATTTCCCCCCCATTCAAGCCCGTTCGTGCAAACTTTTTCCAACATGTTTTTCAATCAGTTGAGTGAGGGATGAATCACGAGTTCTTTCTTTTTCCATCAAGGATCAAAATAAATTTTGATTGGATGAGTTGCAGATCAAAATAAATTAGACAAATTATATTGACATTTCTTAAAGTTTTCATAATTAAATTATATCTAAATTAATTTCCTCTTCCTTAACTGACCGTCGAGATATTACATTGATATTATTTAAAAAATAAGAACATATTGTGCAATTTTAACAACCAATTTTTGTTCACTACTTGAAAAACAGTCATAATAGGACATAACATACAAACGTAGGAGTTTTTTTTTTTTTTTTGGATTGAGCTGTAGTTATAACCATCAAAAGAAATATTTCAAAGAGTAGCCAATTGTGTCAGACTTGTTTCAAGAAAACACGAACTTTCACTTACCACGGACGAGAGATCGGATCCTTAGACTCTTAATAATACAACACAAGTAAAGACCAGTAACTTAAACGAAATAAAACAAAAACAAAACTTAAAAAAAAAATAAAAAATCCGCTCACAAACTTTGAAAATCCACAAAGAAAATTTGCATAATCAACACATAGGAAACATCAGAAAACATGCACTTAGTTGGTTAGCTCCATAATGGCCGAAACTATATCTCCATCTGCAGCTTTAAGAGCCTTGACGGCCTTCGACCTAGAGACTCCTGCCTGGGTCATCACCAACTCGATGTCCTTGGGCTCCACTCCGGTTTCATCCACGTCTTCATCATCCTGTGCCATTGCCGAAGTCTCGGGTTTTGAAATGACATGACTGAGGTCGGGTGCCTTGAATTGCTCAGCAGCCTGAGTCTGCAGTTGCGAGCTCAAGTCCTCGATCTTCGCCTCTCCGAAAATAACATACGTGTCTGATGTTGGACTCTTGAAGACATCGGGTTTGGAAATCACAAACAAAATCTGTTTCGAAAGCAGGTCCCAAAAATTATGTTAGCAAAAATAGGAACATGCGAAAAAATGATCAAATAAATCGGGGGGGGGGGGGGGGGGGGGGGGGGGGGGGGGGGAGATAACCAACATTCTTGCTCTTCTTGACAGTAACACGGCTGACGCCTGTGATAGGTTTCATCCCAAGCTTCAACATCGCCTTGCGACTCTTCTTTTCGCTTCTGCTTTGCTTTGACCTACCGCTTCCATCTCCATCTTGTCCTCCTGCAACACTAATAATGCTGAGCCACAAATCACATTTTGTACTAAGAAATACACTTGCAGTGGTCTCCTCAGAATTTGATTATGTTAATATACATATTAAGAAAAGCTAAATCAAGTGGAAATGACAAATAGCATACAAGAAGCAAACCTGGGACAATTATTTTAGAGATGTGACTTGCCTTTGATTCCCCAAACTGACCCGATTGCTTACAACAATCAATGTGAATATAATCCAAAGGAATATTACCATTCTGTTGCACACTTGATATAGTAACAATACTGTTTTAGTGGTTTTAAGGATTTTTTTTTTAGTATGGGACTCGAATGCAAATGGCGAATTTTCAGCTTTTGGGAAAACAACAAGCAAGAGCTATATGGACCCTTTTTCTGTACACCACTCACAAACAATACAAAAAGCAGCTGCATGTATCAAAAGCGTCAGATATCATGGCCAATAAGTAAAAAATCGGTTGAATACATAACACTGTTCTTTCCGGCATCATTAACATTACTGTTGTTGTCAGCATTATATTTTTTCTTTATGGAAAAAGATACAGAAACTTTGCAGACCAACAAGCAGAAGGAAGTACTCATTGAAATTCTTTTCCTACTAGCCAAAGAACAGACCAAGAAAAATGGGGGTCCCAACCTAACAGAATCCATCAGCAAAAAACCAATATGATGTAATAACAGTTGCAACACCTCCATGCATTAAGACTGAACAAACCAACCTACTGGTATTTGCTGATTGACTGTGTCATTTGATGACAAAAAATAATTGGAATTTTATAACTACTGTTTTTAGTATTTAGTTAGGCGATAATGGTTGGTGTAGTGACAGATGATGAAGCTTCATGAAAGGTTGATATGTGAGCTCTTAGCTTCATCCACTTAGAAGATTGGTAAATGGTGAAACTTGGTATGTTGATGTGAGCTCTTAGCTTCATCCACTTAGAAGATTGGTAAATAGTGAAACTTGGTATGTTGATCTATGGTGAGAGAGATGGTTATAAAGATGCTGATGATGATAAAAGAGAGAAGCAACAATAGTGGAAGAGGGGAAGAGGGCTTGGGGAACAGAGGTACAACTGCAATCAACCACACATCTTTGAATTGACCCTCTATGCTCGAACCTTGAATCTCTTCAATCTTTTTTGCTCGACCCTTGAGTCTCATAGTAATTAGGGTTTCTCACTCTAAATTAAGGAAAAGGAAAACACTTTTAAGCTATTTTTATCAGACGACCATAATAGTAATTTGATAGATATCTAAGGCAAATAAAAAAGTATATTAATAACAAGGGTTTAAGAGTCAATTTTCATCTTCCATTAACACCGTCAACTGTCCGTATCTAAAAGAAGTGACAATGTAATTATGCAAATGTGAGGGTGTCTGACTGTAATAAACATAAAACACAAGGGGTCAAAGTATATTTTACCCAAACAAATATAATTTTTGAAAGCAATGCAAGAATTCTGTAAATCCTTGCCCGGGGGGGGGGGGGGGGGGGGGGGGGGTGGCGGCGGCGCCGGCAGAGAGAATGGTCTACAAATCAGATTCTAGAATCACTAGAGAACAATGATTTGTGAACAAAAAACCAAGTTTAGCAACTTAAAAACAAAGGGCCTACATGGTCCATTCTCTTAAAACATTCCACAAACGCGGGGAACAGGGAACTATTTTCAAACTATAAAAGACATTTATCTGAAAACTCTTTTTTTAAAGTGTTTTCATAAAACTGTTTTCAAAAACTGTCAATCAAGCAGAATTTGTTTACAGTTTTCTGAATTTTTTTCTTAGAAAACAGGAACTGGTCTAAAACAACTGAACCAAGCAGGCCCAAAAGCAACCCCTTTTATATGCATGAACACACAATTGGAATAAATTTATTGTATTGCGTTAAATTAATTCATATACTTTCAGTATAGCTTGGCTAAAGTACAGTTTTATAGTCAAAGTAATACGCTGAAAAGTTATCAAAAACCATAATCTCCTAGCAATCTCCACCCCCCACCCACACAAACAAACCCAAAAAACACACACACACAAGATTGACGCTTGGAGAGGATGTACAGTGGATGCCCAAGTTGGAGGGTAACGCCGTGGTGGTGTTTATGGACATAGGAGAGATCCTTTGATGGCAAGGAGACTCCTATTGGAGGGCTAAAGTTCTCTACTATTCGTTCTCTTTTTTGTTGAGTCTTGGGAGAAATTGTAAATCAATGGGGCAGATTTAGTGGCCTTTTCTGGCCCTGGGTGGTTTTTATGGGACCATTCCCCGATTGAACGCTTTCTAATACAATCTTAATTATAAAAAAACAATAACAATATTCCATAAATAAAGAAGTCAGTGACGTCAAACATAATGATTTCATTTAATAATTCCAACATTGTAAAATTTTACCAATTGAAAGAATGAGGAGGAGGAATTCAAAGTAATTCTGACAAATTTCTCTAATATGAATACTGAAGCTATAAGAATTAGACGGCTTGAGGAAAAAAACCCTAACTTGAGAAGAAAATAAATAATAGTTGATGAAAAACCCTAACCCTCAAGTTAGGCTTTATCAATTAGCAAGCCTTAACAAGTCCGTTAAAAGAATAGTTCTGAATAATAAGAAAAGAGAGATTCAAATGAATTCGAATTTCTACATTACAAGAATAAAACTGAAATTTAAAAAATTAGTAGGGTTGAGAAAAACCAGAAGTTGAGGAAAGATAACACTAACCCTAAATTGAGTAGGGAGAAGAAAATAAAGAGAAGATGATGAAAATAACCCTCCCAATTAGAAAGCGTGAAATATTATAAATAAATAGTCAACGGATGTTTAGCTTAAGTTTTTGTCCTCACTATTACCTTTCCCTTAAGTTTTTCCCCTCCTTTTCTTCTTCTCCCTCTCTTTCCCTCTCTGGTTTGCCACTCAATGCAAAAGCCGTCAGAAAAATACATTGAATACAGCAAAGGCTGATACGAACAATGTGCTAATTAATCCTTTTTTTATTACTCACATCCTCACATGATCTCTCATTATGAAACTAAATTAAATAACAAATACAAAAGAAGTTATCTTACGTTCAATTTTCAATTTGATAAAATTTACAAATTTGATTTATATCTATATCTTTTCAGAGAGTTTGAAGGGAGGTGATGCATTACTGATTAAACATAGTAAAACTTTCATAAGGTAATATATTGTCATCACCCACACGTTGCTCTTAATAAAACAAGTCAGATTCATATTTTAGTATTGTGAAGCCTTTCTTATTGGGGTTGACAAAAGCATAAACAGCTACAAACATCTCTCTCCTGGAATGGTTTTCCAGCCAAAAGGATAGAAGTAAATTTCTCTTTAAAAACAAAAACTATTTTTATTGCTGAAGATTGGTTATGAAGGTAAAGGGACTCAAAATTAAACTTATAACAAGGAATCAAATTGGCCTTTTTTTTGGGGGTTATGGGGAGAAATGGTAAATCTATAAAGGAGATTGTTGATTTTTTATTTTTTTGTTCTTTGACTCCTTAGGGTCCCTCTTGACCTTGGCCTTTCTATAGCTTTTGGGATGTGTTTCCCCTTAGAACGCTTTCTAATAAATATTTATTTATCAAAAAAGGAAAACAAAAAAATAAAAATAAAAAATTGGCTAAAATATAGCAATAGCTGAATAGAACTTTACAGTAATCTGGTCCAGACCTGAATATATTTTCAAAATTAAGTTTGGTCGAAATTAAAGGCTTATATGCGAGTTCAGGAGCACACGTAAGAGAGAGAGAGAGAGAGGGGGGGACAATCATAAAATGTGACATGATAACCATAACCATCACCATCACTTTGATCAGTTTCTGGTGAGAATGATGAAAAAACAAAGAAAAAGAACTAATCATTGGGCTTGCAAATAACATCAATATCTATAAAACCACAACATTATATAACTGAAAAGTGATTCACTTTGGATATTTTTGGTAATGCAAAAAATTACGGCAAAACTAAAAACATACTATTAAACAGTGAACTAAACTTCCCAACATGCAAGTGTCTCTATGTATGACTTAACAAGGTACTATATGTAAGACACAATACTGAGGGTCACCCATATATACCGTCAGCGTAGACAGCTCCCTCAACCATAATTAACCCAACCAAACCTCAAGACAGCTCCCTCAACCACAATTAACCCAACCGAACCTCAAGACCAGAAACCAAGGACAATGAACAGGCAAGCAACAACAGGGTATACCACGAGTCAAGTATAATTTTCAAGATTAAGTTGAAGGCTCTTGATACTTGAGATTTAAGAAGCACATGTGTGTGTGAGAGAGAGAGAACCATCAAGTGCAACATTGTGACTGTTAGTTTGATCAGTTTATAGCAATAATGATGAAAAAAGAAGTAATTATTGTGGTTGTAAATAACTTAAATATCCACAACTTGAGACAATTGAAAAGTAATTCATAGTGGATACTTTGGTAATGCAAAAAAATGGGGTAAGGCTAAGAAAATGCTATTAAACTGTGAAGTAAACTCCCTGACATGCCAGTGTCTCTGTGCTTAATTTAATGAAATATTACATGTAAAAAACTCACTAAAAATACCATTTGAGCTGATCCAAATGTACATATTTGACCATGGGACAAGTAACTTACCTTCCGCATCATCATCATCCTTGTCATCATCATCATCTTCATCATCGTCATCCTCTTCATCTTCTACCACTGGCTCATCAGGCTGCCAAATAAAGAAGACAGATGGACAAAAACATTACTGCAAGAACCTATCAACATTAGAACAAGTGACGATCAAATACAACAATATGATAATTATTTATTTTGCTTAAACAATCAACTAATAACTTAATTGCCTAGCTTGCCCTAAAGTATTGCTGAAAACCCCTTCCAGAGATACAAGATCAACTAGACAGAATTCTTTGACCTCAACAATACATAGGACACACATCAACACCATATAGGATAGGCATAGAAGCGACCAACACCTAAAATTAATAAATTAAAACCATCCTCCAAGTAAATTTATAATATTTACTCCAAATTAAATTTATAAGTATCTGAATTTTTATTTATATTCTTTAAATTTCTCAACAAACAAACAAAATGAAAATTAATACTAAGTGATTCACTGTGATCTCACAAAAACACAGACAACTATTAGCATAAAAAGACTTTCTTTTCTTTTCTTTTTTGGGTTCCTAAGAATCTATAAACCAAAAAAAACATTTTGTGATTTCTTGTTTTCTTAATTATGGCTGTTCACTTACGAAAATAAGTTTCAAAATCTATCAAATCGGTGGCAAAAGCCTCAAAGATCCAAATATTTATGAAATAGAGAGAAAAAATTTGCACTCAAATCCAGTATATACAAATCAAACAGTAGTGCTTTTGATCTCATCGTCTACAAGAGGAGAGCAAATAATAACTACATAATCGTCAGATCCAAATCTATACATATAGAGAGAGGGATTTTACATTGATCTTCTGCTCTTCGAGGTGAGCAGCTAGAAGCTCTTCTTGCGTCTGGGCAGTCATGGCGTCTAGAGAGAAAAATATGGAGAGAAAAAGCAAAAACCCTAAAACCCCGAGAAATAGAACGACGAGACAAGACCTTTCGATCGTATGAAGGTAGGGATTTTATAGACAGGGTTAGTGCGCCGAAATTACAGAACTACCATTGCATGATATACTCGAACCGATCCGGCTCAATGGACCCAAAGCATTTCTAATTTATGGCCGAAATAAATAGGGTAAATTATACTAACCTCCCTGAAGTTGGATAATGTTTATTAGTTTGACTCCCTTAAACTTAGGGTGGTAAAATGGATCAGGAACTATTAACCCGTCCATATTCGCTCACTCTTTAATGGTTATGGGTGAACCATATTTAATTGAGGGTCAAGATGGATTGGGTAATTTTTAACCACTTAATTTGAGGGTCCATATTATTCAACCCATATTTTACCCATCACATAATAAACATACAATACACATCTATTCTATATTACACTTAACTAATTTCTCTCTCTAAAATTCTCTCTCACAATTCTCTTTCTCTAAATTTGTCTCTCATCAATTCCCTCTCTCTAAGTTTCTCTCTCTCTCAAAATTTCTTCTAAAAAAATAAATAATTAAAAAAAATTTTAAAAATTAAATAATAATTAAAAATAATTTTTAAAAATTTAAAAATAATAAATAATAAATTAAATTTAAAAAAAAAAATAATTTTAAAAAAAAAAACTTTTAAAATTTTAAAAATAATTAAAAAAAATTTAAAAATAAATAAAAAATTTTAAAAAAAATAAAAAAAATTTGAAAAAATAAAAATAAATAAAAAAAATTTTAAAAAATTAAAAATAAAAAAATTTTCACATATAAATATACCAAGGCAATAAGGTTTAAAATGGAATATTATTCTCTTGAAAATTAAAAAACAGGTAAACTGTCACCTTTTTGTACAACCTGTTTATAATGCGCAATTAAATCAAATGCGCACCAATTATAAGAAATAATAATAATAATAATAATAATTATAATATTAAAAGAAAGTATTATGCATATATATATATATATATATATTTCCTAAAGATAGTACTGCTATTTCCATGTCGTGAGTAATTGAGCAAACAGAGGAACATTTCAATGGAAACTGAAGATCAGTTGGTGTAAGCTCTTCCTAGAGAGAGACGGTGGGACGGGACTGGTTATATCTATCAATACCAAGGTTTCCGGTTTCCATCAGGGGGAATTCATGGTGTAATATCCTTCCAGCGACGGAAATATATATATATATATGCATAATACTTATATACGAGAAAATTTTAGCTACCTTATCGTCCTCTATTTGTGAACCGGCTTTAAAAATAAAAAAATTGAATTTGCTAATTAAAATGAATAAACATCTACGTATATAAGTAATTATTCGAATATATATATGTGTGTGTGTGTAAAGAAATTAGAAATAGTACCAAACTCAGGCTGCTCAATGAGTAGAAAAATTCTGGTGTCGTAGCTTAGTGGTCAAATTTTTACAATGTGACCTTATTGAAAATTTTAACTTATTAAATTCTATTTTTTTTTTTTTTTTTCAAATAAGTCCCAGAGACTCCACCTCCTCCATTAAATGAAATTTACCTAAAAAATAATAAGTTAAAATTAAAACATCTAAAAATCTATATATATATATATATATATATATATAATTAAAAATAATAAGTAATGGGTTCACGGGTCATAACGGGTTGACCCTGCCCATTTTCAACCCGTCCATATTCAATTCGTTGGTCTTGACCCATGTTGATCCGCCCATTTTTAACCCGACTCAACCCGCCCATTTGCCACCTATTCGCTGTTTACTGAAAAGTGATTTTGATGGTGAAAAGTGAGTAATGTCCTTATATTATTATACTATTTTATATTAAATTTTATACAAGTGAAAGACAAAATTATCATCTTGTAAAGTTTGGTCAACAGCAACAGGTGATGTAGTGCAAACATGGTAGCCATGTCAACAAATTATGGATGTTAAGGTGACTGTGGTTCAACGGGAAAATCAACGGTTATCTTGGAAGTAGCTTGGAATAGAAGACTTATTTTCCAACTACTTATCTTTATATTTCTTAATATTTTGTGTTTAGTAAGTTATGTTTAATTTATTTGTCAACCTTGAGTCTTGTGTTGAAAGTTGGAAGTTGAAGCCTTCTTAATGTAATGTTGAAGATGAAGACTTATATTTATAGGTGTTGTATGTAAAGGAGAAAGCTAACTTTGAATACTATGTTTTGATAATGATATTATAAAGCATTTGTTTTTGTTTATCCACTCATTCTCTTGGTTGTGACTTCTTGTTCTATAATTCTTTTTCTTCCTTCTCATCCACCCGCGTCATTTGGTATCAGAGCTTGCGCTACGCTCTCGAGCTGACTTTTATTGTTCTTGTTTCATGGCGGTTAGAAGAGGTAGAAGAAGAAATGGCAACTGTATGATGGGAGACTTGAGGGATGAAAGAGATAATGCACTTTAAGCACTTCGAAGACAAGTTGAGTAACTTACCTTGCAGCTGGAATGCCAAGAAGCTTATCGCGAGCATGGTAGATCAAGTCATGGGTCTTCTAGTGATGAGTCCGATGAGAACCCTTTTGCCAATCGTGCAGGGCCATGGTTGGGAAGGTTCTATTGTGATTCTGAATATGTGAAGATTGATATATTTATCAGAGTTCCATGGTCGTTTTCAGCCCGAAGAGTTTCTTGATTGCCTCAGTGCCATTGAGAAATTCTTTGATTACAAAGAAACATCCGAAAATCAAAAAGTGAAGCTTGTGGCAACAAGGCTTCGAGGTTATGCTTCGGCACGGTGGGACAAAGTTCAAGAGATGAGGCTTCGCAAGGGAAAGCCTAAAATTACTTCTTGGGAGAAAATGAAGTCTAAGCTTAAAGAGAAATTTCTACCTTTAGATTTTGCACAAAGTTATTTTTCTCAATTCAACAACCTTCACCAAGATTCAAAGAGAGTGTTAGATTACACCAAAGAATTTTACAGACTCATGAGCTGGAATGACATTCAAGAAACTGAAGAAAGATTTGTTTTTAGATATGTTGGTGGGTTAAAAATTCCAATTCGCAATGAAGTAGAAATCCATCAAGTATGGAAGGTCAATGATGCTTACCAACTAGCCTTGAAAGTTGCGGCTAAGCTTGCTCGTAATGGTCCTAAAAAGTCTGTCGATGATCATAACCTTTATCCTCCTTCAAAAGTTGAATCTTCTCATAGTGAAAAAACTAATTTCAATGTTGAAAATATAACTAAAAATTCTACAAAATCAATCCCTGCTAAACATGGAGGAGCTTAATTTAGTCGCAACAATCCAATTTCTTGTTTCAAATGTGGCCGAGATAGGCATCGTTCTAACGAGTATCCAAAGAGGCAATTTGATGCGCGTGTGGCATTTGGTAATAAAGCCAATGATGAAGAAGTATTTGATGATTCAAATCAACCCATATATGACAAGGAATATGAATTGGAATGTGAAGAAATCTGTGATATTTCACAATTTTTCAATTTTTCGAGTATTTTTTGAATTTATTTATTTATTGCCTCATTTTACGTGTCAAACATCGTAGGGTGTGCTGTGTGAGTCCGGAGGGTTGTTTAAGACATTTCTTCAAGTTCAAAACTCTTAGAAATGCATTGTTGGTCATTTTTGTATTTTTCAGATTTTCGGGCCGGGTGGGACCCGCACCTGGATTTTTCGTGCACGGGATTATGTTTCGACATTATTACACTTCATATATTTTTATTTGGAGTATAGTTGTGTGACTAAGTGCATGATTTAATTTATTGTGGCATGTATATATATATATATATATATATATATATATATATATATATAAGGGACAAATGAGATATTTTTAAGAATGTGGACTCCACATAGATTTAACCTTATTATAAGGACCATATTTGGCTGAAAATTGGCATTCTTCTTCCTCCATTTCGTGGCTCCTCCTTTCTCTCTCTAAAAGTCTCTTTTTCCATTGAGGGCTACAAAGTGATAGGAGCAGATTTCCAATTGGGTGATTTTAGTGTATTTTGAAATTGGGGCTTTTTGCATCTAAAGAGGTAGAGTTGTCTAATTGTCAAATTCCTTGGACTTGGTAGTTAATTGGATTTTTCCCCCTCCTCTAGCATGTCAATTTGATGTCTAATTGGATGATTTAGTTAGAGGGTTTTGGTTTATGCATGAGCTTTGTCTAATTGGTATGTTCAATGTGAATATATGTTTAGCTTGTGTATAAATTGCAAATGATATGTTATTGGGTTGTTATATGATGGATTATATATTTCTATTTACATGGTTGTTGTGATGTTATTGGTTATTCACTTGCTAGATGATATTATAATACTTAAAGCATGATATAATTGTTAATTGATCTTGTTGTGACCATAGAATTGTCTATTGTGTTATGGAAGCATGATGAGTAGTGAGTGGTTGTGTTTGAAGCATTTTCATATGCATGGCATAAGGGTATTTATGGGCTTAAGAGTTGTGTAGATCTGTTATGTGGATACACGAGGGTGTGGTTGTGATGTGTGGATACGAGGATGTGGTTGTGATGCATGGACATGTGAGTTGTGTGGGTGTGGTATGTGGTTGCATTGGTCATTTCATGCATTGCAAGTGTATGTGGATTGCGTTCTTGGTCTTTGAAGTCCAAGACTTTTTGATTTGCTCCTTGATTCATTTTTTGAATCACCCAAGTCCATCAAACTTCAGTTTTCATCATCTGAATATAGCTTGATTTTGACTTCTAATTGATTCCTTTATTAAGTTCATTCTTGAAAATATGTCATACCAATCACATAAACATGGTCCTCCTTTTGAAGGAGTCCTCCTTCTAATAGGAGTTCTTCTGTTTGTCAGAGTGGTCTCAAATCTCTCTTTGCTGCTATTGATTTTCTTTCTACTATTGACCTTGGCTGATTATAGATCTCTCGAATTTCATTTTTCCTTATCCCATGCTCTTACGCTTTCTTTTTTTGATTAGATCCTTTTGTACCCGGTGGATTTGCCTTCTGTTATATTGGGTCTGGATCTTCACACATCTTTGGCTGTGTCGTGCTGTTGTTATTGCTA